AAAAAATAATTAATTCAAGACAAATTTGAAATTATAGAAGGATAATTATTTTGGGACAAATAGAGTAATGTACTCCCTACATCCTTAATTTAAATTTTTAGAAATAATTATCAATCAATAATTTCAAATTTGTCTTGAATTAATTATTATTTTTTATTTTTAAGACAAACAAATATATTTTTTACTTTAACCTTATTATTATTTACAATATCACAAGTCCTAAAAAACAAGAATCAATCATTAAATAATATAAGATCCACTTTTAAAAATTTTAAATAACGTAACATTAGTTAAATTTTAATCTCAAATTTTATCTTATTTATCATTATTCTTAAAAAGGTTCTTTATTTTTATTTTTTTTAAGGATAAAATATATAATAATAGAAATTGTTTCTAAATCCTTAATTTAAAGATAAATTTAAAAATGTTTATTATTTTAAGATAGAGGAAATATATTTTTAAAATTTTTACATGTAAAAGATTTTTTTAATTTTAATTTGATAAAAATAATATTATAATCTTAATTAATTAACAAATTAAGCTAACAATATTAATTATTTATCATTAGTTTTGATTAATTATAATGTAGTCCATTTAAAGACTTAGTTTTTTTTTTTTTTTTGAAAAGCAAAGAAATTATATTATGTGAGTACAAGGGATTTAAAGACTTAGTTAGTAAGTTGTGTTGTGGAACTATTTGAATATAAAACTTAATTGAAAATTTTGTGAAGTTTTTGGGGTTAAAGTGCAATTTTTTAAAACTGCATATAGCACATAATTGGTGCCACATAAACATCTCATAGGATTCTGTTTAAAACATTGACGGAAGTTTGTTAGATAGATGAATTTGAAATGATTTTGAAAGTTTATAGATGATTTTGAAAGAAACTAAATGTTCTAGACTAAAATGAAAAGAGATTAATAGCTAGTAGATAAAAAATTAAATTTAACCGTTATTTTTGGACGGTTTCGAATCTTGACTATTTGTCCTTTTTTTAGTTTTTTTCTTTTTTTTT